TTAAAGCCCTTTAAAGTATGCACTAGTCTAAATCACCTACATTTTACTTGTTTTTTGACCTTTTTAGACTTTATTTTGGTTTCTGCCCTGGACCCGAGTAAGAAATCATGCTCTTGTCAGGACTCTTTTCCAAAAAAGAGCTTATAAAAACCTTTGTGCTCTAATTTTTGGTCTTGAATCCGCCCAGAGCCACAGCAGACACGGCTCTAATCATTATCAACATGTGGACATAACATATTTACAAAAGATCTATTCATTACCTTGCCTTATTGAGTTCCTCTTTGTCCCTTCCTTTACCTCTGCAGCTCAGGTCAGGGGGACATCTGTGGTCAGTAAGTGGTTGGAGAGGACAGCTATTGTCATCAAGGTGTAAATAAATGGAAAAAAGGAGCCTGATTAGTAATAACACAGTCTTGGAGATGAAGAGCCGTGGTGTGGACGGGGCCTGGCCTGACCAGTAAACAACCAGTGGGGAGTCCGAAAGGCCTGGGGATCAGCCTGAGGCGAAACTTGAAGGATTCTCTCAGCACCAGCTCTTTAAACACAGGCTCATACACATGCTCTGAACCCACACGCTCGTTTGCCTTGTTTGGTGTGAATATTGTCACAACACTGGTTTAGAAGGATATCATGCTCCAATTCACCAGACACTTTAATCCAGGGGTGCTCACACTTTTTCAGCATGCGAGCTACTTATAAAAGGATCAAGTCAAAATGATCTACCTACTACAAAAATGCAAATTATATATTTATTTCAAAAAATATTCTTTATACCTACAATGTATGTTTATGTACATGCAAAACCGCATGAGCCAATATACATAGTTCCCACATGACGTCACTACATACGGGGATTTGCCGACCCGGCGCCATTTGTGTTGGCATGCTGTGGGCAAAACAATAGAAAAAGAAGCTGAAACGTGTTAATGTCGTGATAAAGTTGAAAATGGTCATCTCCTGCTGGGTCAATGGATGTTCAAATTGTGCCGGAGGTTCCGTTAAACTTGGATTTTACAGTATACCCATCATTAGACTTCATAAATGTGAGAAGACTAAGCTTCTAATTAATATACAATTATTTGCTCAAAAGTTGCCCTTTTTTTCCAATTTGCGTTTGAATATCTACATTTATTCTCATTCTTCTGTTTAATGGAATGCACAAACACAGCAGCGTGCCATCAAAGATGGCGTCTCCGAGGAGGTCATGTGACATTCATTGGTCTGTGGGAACTATGTATAGCACAACACAACACAATTACCTATGTACATTTTTAGTCATTACCCGAGTTTACTCTTATGACTGAATTGAATCGGCCAGGGAGGCATAGTCCGGAAAATTGGTGGTAATTCGCTGACAAGTTTGTCGTGGTTTAGCTTTCCTGCACTGAGCGCGGTTGTTTGCGCATGTGCAGTCACCTAAGTATCAGTAAAACATTACTGAGTAAAACACAGATGTAATTTTACTGTGGTGCCATGTCCATGTGCCATGCCTGGTTTTTTTTTAAATCCAAATATTTCCCCTCCTCAGTTTATAAAATAATTTGCATCCACACATCTGCGTTATCAATCACATTCGTAACATTCCAAACATGTGCGTCTCTTACGTCCTGTCCTGCGTTGGGGAAAAACACAGAAGTGGGCGGAGCTTTGATGCAGACGCCGGTAACGGCACTTTTACATAGTCATAGAAGACACTCAGAGTAAAGACGTATGTTTACAAGCACTGACCCCGTCCTCAGCCCTGGTTTAGTCCTGGTTTAGTCCTGGTTTAGTCCTGGTTTGGTTGTTTTCGAGCGTTAGTCCCCGTGATCACTTTGCTGCTCTCTGATGTGGAGCGAGGATGTTCGCTGCTGCGAGCATCTCACAGCGAACAGTTTATAAGGTAGTATGATCCATGCTTCAGTGATCAGAGGAATTTAGGGGGGTACTGTGGCGTGCGAGAACGCAAAACTCCGGTTATCTCTGTCTACACACAAATGCATTAACGGAGTTTTCAAAAATCTCCACTTTGCCCGGAGTTTTTTGTATATATTCGTTTAGAATGTGTAATTTTTTATTTATTTAATGCGATCTACCAATACTACCTTTGCGATCGACTGGTAGATCGCGATCGACGTATTGAGCACCCCTGCTTTAATCTATCAAGAGTCATTCAATTCAGAAAATCGGGCTTGTTTTTTCTTCTTTAATTTATTATTTATTCTGGTTCTTCTTAAACTCTTTCTTATTGACATACTATATATGCATACTGACAATTTCACTACTGTATTTTTCTGGGGAAAGAAATTTGCACCCATTTGATTTGACAAATACATAACTAACAAAGGTTGTGACAAGTTACCCACACAAATTCGTCCACATAAACAAAATCATATTTACATTGGTGATATACCAATATCCTACATTTGAAACAACAACATTTTAAATTTTGGTTTGTTTTTACTATATGCTTATGTTACATATATTAATATATTATAGTAGTATTCAATTGGTTTGAATATATTCAGGACATGCACATTCTGCTTAAATTTAGTCAATACATGTGATGATGAAATATTACCTCCAGCATTTTGATTTTTCTGTAAAAAATAATGTAATATAATGTCAAACATATGTTGTAGCACATAAAATATATCTTCATCAAAATTCAGAATAAGAAAAAAGAAAGTCATCTTTAGATAATTTGATTGATTTAAATACTTTCAGTAGGCTCCCATTCACTTACATTGAAAAGTAACTGTTAATGTCACATCATGTATATATATTGAAAAAAAAAACATAAGAAAATAAACTGTAAAGTGCTCTGTATGATCTGCATAACAACTGACCAATCAGGCACCTTCTGTAACCAAATTCAACTTTGGCTTGTAAGTGGGAATGGATCAGTGTTGCTTCTGATTGACTCTTTGGTTGCTAGATAAAAAGTTCAGGATGACAAGGACCACTAAAATCCCCACAAAATCCGACCTTTATGAAAGCACTAGGTTCTCCGTCAGCTATTTTTCTGGGTAGCCCATGTGAATTTAGTTTGCAGTACTGCGCTCCTGTGCCCATGGGTGGGACAGCTATCAGATAGCAATAGCAGCGATTGGAGACTGTAAGGTGCCGCGGCAAAGAACATAGTTCGCCCAAATATTCTTCTCGGTGAGAGGCGCTAGTCTGTGAAACACGCTCCATGTCCATTTAAAATCTGAGACAAAACATTCAAAAAAGAATTGTTTTTTTTGGATATGCAAGCAGCAGCGCTGCTCTCATTAGTTTAATTTACTGTGTTTTATATTCATTAGTATGTATTAGTATGTACTGTACAACTATCTCCCTGTTATGTTTCTAACATTGTGCTTGTATTTTTTTTAATTTTATTTTCTCTACTATTTGTCAATTTCTAGGGAAAAGTGCTGCGAATTAGCTGGGCTATAAGCACCATGATGCATGCATCAGACTATTGTATGACAGTTTATCTGCGTTTTCTGTGATAAACCAAATAATAATAATACCCTATCCAGATATTATTATAGATCCATGATTCCCGCACATTGAGCCTTTTCAAGTTCGCTCTAATCAACTTTTCTCGCATTCAGCAGCACTCTGTTAATCCAATCTTTCTTCAGTCTAGGCTTTGGACATGTTGAATGTGGAGCAGTAGGCCGTTCACATTACCACAGATTCACCAAGCAGTTTACGGCCCTTCTCTCCCTCTGAGATGGTGAAAGACACTGAATACACTTTCTGCTCTTTCCTAAGCCTGTCAGTCACCCAGAGAGGATGGATTTTGATTTAAAGCAAAAGGTACATTTCTCATAGGGAGTGTGTTCAGCCATATTTTCTCCTGGTCACTGTAATCTTCTCTGTCTCTTCATAGTCAGGTGTAATCAGTCACACACTGCCACATATTTGGACATTTCCTGTTTGCGGCAGTAAGCATATTACCGTGTCTGCAAATCAAACTGCTCTCTTTTAGAAACACACACAGCCGATCAGACTTATCTTCACACAAATTAAGACAGACAGGTGGATTGTCAGGGAAAAAAGATTTAAAAAGAGTCGGAAGAAACGACGACCGCCTTGTGCTGTGAATTTCTTCCTCTGTTTTGAAAGTGTGTGAATGGGGAGGGGGCAGTGTTGAGATGGGTGACTGTTAATGGCAAGAAATGAGCGCACTTGACTGGTGGATTTGACAGGAAGAGACTGCTCTTAACAAGGCGTCAGAGTCCGTCATATACACATCCATCACTCCTCAGATGCTCTGAGCAGGAGGAGAGAGGGGGGTGCGTTTAAGGATATTCAGAGGGAAAAAGCCTGTGTGAAGGGTAGAGAAGAAGACGGAAGACAGAGACTGTGAGGGGAAAAAGAGGGATTTGAGTGTGGCTGACAGCGCTGCATTTAATTTGGACTGCCAGATCCTTTTTCATTTGACTTCCTTTCAACAGCTTATAGAGGCTGGGGAGGACTGGAGGGTATGGTTTGCCAGAATGTCTCAGATTAGGGCTGATGTTCCACGTCACACTTTAAGCCGGCCTGTAATTCATGTTCAACAGGGGGATACTCACACATTACACTGCGCTGTGCAGGACGTGATTAATTGACTCACACTCTAATATTTGGTAATTTGCCCGTCCTCTGATGTGAAACTGACTTTATACTAGACTTACAGTATGTCGCCGTCCCAGGGATGTTGTAAAAGTCTCGGAGCAGGGAAATCTCCACAATCCGGATAGAAATTCATGGATGGCAGTCACTGTTGGCACAAAACCTGAGTGACTTGTTCATTGCGAAAGGTACCCGAAGTCAATTCTTGGTCCAATAGGGTCTTTTCTGTCTGGAGTTTGCACGATCTTTTCATGTCTTGTTGGGTATTAATCCTACAGCTTGGAATGCAATGCAGAGAATGACTTGTGCATTAAATATAGATTTTTTTTTGGTTAAATTCATTACTAATGTTAACAATGTAAGATGACAAGACTTATTTTTGACAGTCCCAATGTTAATTTTCTTTCTAGACAAACCTGTTTCTGGTGTTGGTAGAAGATGATGGAAGAGCAGGGGAAAACCGGCGGGACATGGCAGAAACCTTACTGTCAGCCTTGACAGACAGACATCAGCAAAGACAGACATGGAGAGACAGGTAACACATTGTGCCACCTAATTTTCCTCCCACTAGACACTTGTATTGAAATGTTTAACAGACATAAAACTATAGTGTAATATAGAGGTACCTTTCTATGTGTCACTACACCTCAGCTCATATAATGTAATTTGGGGCGACAGTAGCTCAGTTAGTAGCTTCCTTGTCCACTGATGTGAAGGGTTGGTGGTTTATGTTCAAATCCGCTGATCTACAGGTTATTAGATTCCGTGGAGGAATTCTATTGCCTTAACTCCAGTGTCTGCATGAGGATGGGTGAATATGTATGTCGATGTCAAGTACTGTGCGTGCCTTGGTAGAAAAGTTGATGCTCTGATAATATTGTTTATTTTAAGTGTGACATTATTTTCAAAGTTTTTACTCAGCATGTTGACACCACTAGCCATCACTATAAACATGGCGATGTATTATTATATGAAGTTATTTAGGAAGTTGAGAAATTATTTGGAAACTGTCAGACTCTATGGACCAGCTCATGAGCAAACCTGCACAAGGCAATGGATTATTTTTCACAGTTAAAAGTGTTTTGACTAACCTTTCTGAAGAATGCTGGTACAACGTACTTCGGGGTCTCAACATTTTACATGTACATTTTGGTTGAGCAATAGTATTTAAGCTGTGAAAGAACAATTATAACCCTTGACAACATGTTGATCGGATTTTTATTTATTAACATTAACATGAAAGTTCTAGTAGATAAATATCACTAATTTATTGTTCAAGATATATGGATCTTTTATGACACTTTTAACACAATTCCAGACCTCTGCATATTTTGTCATTTTTTTCAGTCATAACTTCAAAACTCATTACTTCAAAATACTTCAGAAAACATGCACAGATCTTTCATAAAACTCATCAACAATCTTTAATCCATTGGCTGGTTCTCACGTATTACTTTGAATAGAGTCTCACACTTTCTGCGTTAATTTCTTCTGCAGACTGAATTTCATTTTTGTGTCGAGGTGTGAATTTTTCTTTAAAGTGTCTTCTTCTTTGGAATTAATGTACAATTTGTGCATTACTTGAGGCAACTTAATGATAGAAGAGACAGATTAACTTGGGTGGGCGATGTTTGCGGTCCTTGGGCCTGGTAGCTATCACAGTTATCACGACGCGTGTGGCTTGGATAAGCTGGGTCACTTCCTTCCTCATTGATAAGGAGTGAGAGAGCAAAGATGAGAACATTAGACATTTGTGCAGATAAAGCTAAGAGCATCACACTAAAGCCTAGCGTACATCGGACTGGCAACTGATTATATCCGTCGCCTCTGAGTTGCTGCCCCGCACACATCGACAATCTGGCGAAAACGGGCAACTCTGAGTCGCAGGCCTGTCTCTTGAATAACAGCGCGTACATCGACAGCAACTGGCCTCAACCACAGTGTGTTTTCTGACATAAACTGTTGCAGGCTCGCAATACACGCAATACACACACGTTGTCGGAGCGGCGCATGGAGCGCGCACATCGGGGCAACTGAGGACAACTAGTTGCCGAAAAGTAGAACACGGGCAACTGACTGGAACTGGAGACCGACTGATCATCTCCAGTTGTAAGAGCGCGCACATCGACCGATTTCGGCAACTGATCATCTCCCACCATCTCCTCTCAGTTGCCAAAAGCCGCCTTGCAACTAGTTGTCCCCAGTTTCTCTGTCGATGTACGCTAGGCTTGACACTCTCTGTTATTTTAGCTGTTCCTCACAGAAACTCATCTCTTACAGAAATCACGCAAAATGAAATGTATGTAAAATCCACATGTTTCACTATCAACAGTTTTGACCTCTGTGTCACATATGCTCATTTTGTACAAGAAAGCAACCTGCAAGTGATTAGGGGTGAATGGCGTCCTCTCTTAGACGTTCATGTTATTGTTTTGTTCCCTGGCGCCCCACTGTTGCAAGTTTGTCACCCTCAGTTGACCCTGTTGCAGTCCATCCAGATGAGTCTTGTAAACAAAGTTTTTCCACATACCTTGCTTTGCTGTGTGCATGTCCTCTTTACCACCTCAGCTCTGATGTAGGCCGAACCCTGATAGTACATTCCAGCTCCAGGTGCTGAAAGCTAAAAACCATTGCACACACACCCTCCTGCTATCGCCCACCACCCACAATGCAATGGTACCACCTACTAGACATGTTAAACCAGAGATGAAGCAGAGCCTTTCTTAGATGCTCCGATGTGCAGAGGAAATGCTGAGTTTGTCAACGACAGACAGACGTTTACCCTATCAGCAGTGAAAGACTGATTAGATTAGTTAGGGAGGGGGGGAAATGTCTCACATAATGTGTTTGAACTCCAGCTGCTCCCAATATCTCCCCTCCCCTTTAAACACATGAAATGTCTGGCCAAGCCTCGAGCGTCCCGCTCACAAAGACGCTGGGGGTCATACTGTCAAGTGGCTGTCAACAGATAGCATTAAACAAAACTAAACACATGGCTGGATGTAATGTTAAGTAGGACATAATGATATTGATTTGATGTGTTCAACAGATGATGAGGACTGATCTCAAACCAAGAGATAAATAGTTGTTGTTTTTTTTAATGGAGCTGTTTTTAGGACTTTTATGGATTATTGGCAATAATATAACGTTGAATTTACCTTTTCTTTTACCTGTAGTGGAATGCTTTTTACCTTTTATTTTCATAAAACAATTCATTTTCCCACTTTTTATATCTGGCACTGTAATTAGGTTCACTTCCAATGTGCAACAGCAAAGCTTGTATCATTATACACTCTCTTTTCTACAGTCCTCATTCAGTGCATAATGCATGCAAAAGGGGGGAGAATAAAAAAAATGAAAAACACATGATTGATGACTCGAGCTTGCGGCACAAAAACATAAACAAGCAGCACTGATTGATTATATTTCTGGTAGACTCTTGTTTCTTAAACACCAGTTAAAGTTGTGCACTGGATCGTGGCTTTGCCTCCTGCTGCTACCACCACTGAGGCATTTTTAACACCAGCAAAACCACAGAAGAAATTCAACCTGGTGGCCAGTGTTTTTTTTTTTCTCACTGACTTATAGGCACTCAGAGTGAGTGATTCTGTGACGACTGCGTGCTGCAGTGGTCCATTCGTTTAGTCCACCAAAGTTATGAAAGCATTTTTATTCTTATGAGCTTCTGTGGTAACTGGGTTTGCCGATGCACGACACAGTCTTTGATAGATGCTGCCCTCTGTGCCCCATCGGTATATACGCCTTGTGTGTACAATGGGAATAGATGAATTATTATGTGTATAATGATTGGTCTATCCACTTGAGCCTCACAGGAAGTGTGCACTGAGCAAACGCACAACCTCGAAGGATCTGACAGTCTATAGCTTTTGTTTTGCATTTAAAAATGTAACTGATTGTTTTGGATGCATTGCTACTATTTTTTTAAACTCGATATTTATATCCCAGGAAGTTTAACACTATTGATTTAGGATTCCAGCAAAACGTGCTGTTGAGTTGACCTCATTCTGACATTAGCCAGTAAAGCAGCCCGAGCACTGACCATCTAAAAAGCAGAAAAAAAGCTTTGTCACAGGAGGCGCACAAACACTGAAGGGAACAGCTGTGAGTTTTGTACTGACCATGCAAACTGTTGTAGGCTTTGTAAGGTCATTATATGATAATGAAAATCATTACAGAATTACATGGGGGTTTAGGACATGATAGAAGTAGGAAGGGGAGGGGATGGCCACATTGGGTTTGATAAATGGACTGTGAAGGTGCCCATCTGGCCCTCTATGGCTTTTTTTCCTCTGCTCTTTTATCCACTCCTGTCCTTTACTACTCCTCTTTCAGTCCTTTCCACTGTTCTCTTGTGGATGGGCTTTGAAAAGCGGGCAGACCTGTAGTGAAAGATTAACAGAGTGCAAACCCCGCTCACCTCTGAGGTGGAGAAAAGATCTAGGGAACAGACTGAGATGTTTATGACCCAAAGCAGTCCTTTGTGCCTGGCTGAATCTGTCTTCACAACTTTTAGTATGGGCCAGTTGGAGAGTAGGCTGTGGTTGACCCCTTCACTTTGAAAAAAAACTTTGATTGCTTTAAATTGTGGGAAGTTACACATACAAATAGCTGACCAGGGGTCAGTTTATTTGCCATTTGTTTGCCATTTAGAAAACATTATCAAAATATTAGTGCAACAACACCCAGGGTCTGCAACACATAGCAAAACACTGATGACAGAAACAAAGCAACTACACTGTGAAAGAAGGTTTAAATACACGCACATACTAAAATAAATAAACTGCAGGAATTCCAGATTTAAGGAGCTTGTCTTTTAAAGGTCTGTCCAGACCTTAATTATTGATTCCTTATTGTCTTTCTTTTTTGTACTAGTGTGTCTCAAATTGCTGTACACTTGTGCATGTTTCATGCTTAATCTGTTGCATGTGTTTATGACTTTTCCCCCAGCTTGTTGTGACTTAGTGAAGGCTTTATCAAAAGACAATGACAACATCAGCTGACATGGCAGACCGAGCCATCGGACAGGGAGTCAACAGTTGCACTCATCACTCAGATGTCCGGCCTGGCCTTTGACCTGCCTGGCCTCTCTCCAAGCCTGCCCGGCCTTTATGTTTCCTTCTATTGTCATCCTTTCTCGTCCTCACCTGGACAGGGCACTGCTCAACAAAAGACCCGGTCTGTCATCAAAACTCAGGGTCAGCAAAGGCCAGTGTAGTCCAGCATCTTTAGGCTGAAGCAAGCATGACCAAGAATATCCTGGCCAATGTTCTCAACTACCAGTTGCACCCTGTGGAGATGCAGAGACATGCAGAAAAAAGAGAGGGACCTTTTCTGCCTTGTATTTCTTTTTGAGGGGCGGTGATGATTCTTTTGTGCCTTCTTTCCAACCCTACCCCCATTCCATGACAAGGGTGCACTGTGAAGTCAGAAGACAAAGGAGGTCCCAGATGGGATGGGAAATATGGTCCGAGTCATGTTGTCAGTGTAATATTCTAAGATTGACAAAGTACGGACTTGT